AGAATAACCGGTTGCGGAGCATGCCTGCAGGTCGACTCTAGAGGATCACAGCATTTGAGTATGAAAACATCACCGGGAGAACCTCCCTTGCAAATCCACTTGGAGATGAATAAACGTTAGAGGCTCCACATGTTCAAAAGCTTTAAAATGCACAGCAAAAATATGTGATAGTTGAAAATGTCCATTCAGCCACAAGAGCCTCGGCGACGGAGATCAATAAGACTCGCACTTTGCGTTTGAACTTAGAAACCAGGGACCTTCTATAAGATGATGTCACAGGTTAGGAGGCATACCATTATCTACAACATCCTTTTTATATGTTGTAACCTTGTGATTTAAATAAGTTCATTATTAAAGCCGCTTGCTCGAGGTGTTAAAGTGGTGCCGGCGAAGTGTCGGACACACTGTTTCGTTGATCAAGTTTCCTTCTCTTTTCCAGAAACTGTTCACGGAAGCCGAGGCTCTTCCCTGAGGACGTCTTCACCTCCACTCCTCCTCTTCCTCGTCCTCTTATTGATGACTGTCTGACTCCCTCATCCATCCTTTTGGCTGGGCGTTTTTTGTTTTTTTGTTTTCCCACGATGCAATCGGGGCTCGGACGATGAACGACGCGATGAATCCATGCTGAGCAACTGCCAACTCGTATTACGTTGCGGCTGGTTTTCTTGTGAAATTCCAGCTTTCTTTTCCAGAAAGTTACTCTGGGAACCAACACGCTGAATCACTGTGACTCTTCTCTGGTTTTTGTTTTTGTTTTTTTCCCCTTCTTGCAGTCGTTAGCATGCACTAACACAGAATGTCACACACACACACACACACAGCTGGTCCCGAGTCGTACGAGCATCATCGTCAACTCCGAAGTCAGAAGAACTAGGAGTCTGCCAGGAAACACATTTTCTCACCTTTTCATCGCCATTTTGTTTTTCATTTTGTTGCGTTTACTTTTTTTTATTTTTGTGTACAAACGGCGCCACATAGACACGCGCTCCTGCACTGAGCCGTTCAGGTTGGAGGTCAGTCAGCTTTATTTCTCCACACGGTGATTCATGAATAACTGAAACTGTTGCATCTGGTTCAAAATAGTTTTCAACTCATTTAGATTTGGTAAATAAAGGTGTTTCGGTAGCAATTTGGGATTATTCTGGAATCGGCAAACAGGGCTGCTGCGCCCCCTACTGGGATCAAACGGGTTGAACTGGCGTTGGACTGGGTTGGCCATGGACACTGGACACACGCTATGGACGTAGTGCTGTATGCGGTAATGGGACCTCACTGGACCCCCCCTGTGCCTCACCATCCTTACATCCCGTTAGAGCACAGAACAGAGGGGGTTATGGGTAAATGGAGAGTATCGGCTGGCCTCGCTCCACTGAGCATACGGCCCACTGAGGAGGCTAATTGGTGACCAACCAAGCTTCACATTCTTTTTGTTGGTGGTGGTTGTTTTTTTTACACGGGATCCTTGATTTATGGGTTTTACTGTATAGTTAATATATTCTGCAAAAATGTGATGTATTAACTATATAATTTAACATTTTAGTCAGAGCTGATATTTAAGTGCAAAGGTCTGAAATACACAATGATTTATACTGTGGATGTATATGCATTTACTGGTGTTTTCAATTAAATTTGAGGATTTTTGCCCAACTTTTTGTTTAAAGAAATTGCTCAAACTGTGTCAGATTAGAAAACAGAATAAGGATAACAATAAATAGATTTTTTATTTCATTGAAATTCAAAATCGTATTATTTTTTTTAATTAAACAGATAATATAATTGATAAAGCTGCATAATTATTTCCCCACAGTTTGACTTGAGCTCCGAAAATGTTTAATTGTTCCATTTATGAAACATTTTGATTGATCTTTAAAATACTACATTCTTAGCACTTAATATATTTGTCCTTGTGCTGTAAATAACACCAGTCATGCTATTTTTTTTAAGTCATGTTTTTTTATGTTTATTTCCTAAATGGGGGATGAAACCAATGTTTGAAGATAAAGAATAATTTCAAAGATGTAGACTTTTTGTGTTCAACTAGGAATTTGTTTTTATTTCTTTGCGTGTGTGTAACGTATTTTGCATTCACATTTTAGTGAAGAATGTAG